AGGGATTCGTTCCCTAATTCGAATCATGATGCATGGTTCGCTACAGTATTTTCTCTCATAAAAAATACACGTAAATAAAAAATGGTTTGAATAACATGATTTGAATCCTCCAACCAAACGTCCAAGCTTAAATTTCTTTTCTCTCTCTGTTGTCTTCAATTTCTTTTGCTTCTTTTGAATTGTGATCCGTGTTGAATAATAAAATATACTGGGAATTTGGTTTTTATAAATTCAGTTATGAACTAATTTGTTTTAGCTAGGTCTCATAATGGAACTAAGGTTGTAAGAAAGATAGTTTGCTTATGGAATGTTTATTGAATCTTATTCCTGTTTATCTATGTGTGTTAATGCTTATTTCTATTTTTGACTGGCAATCAATTATAGGATACTAGACTAAAATTAATACTATAAAGGTTAATTTTAGTTGGATCTAACATGGATGATGCAAGTCCAATACTATTGTTTGAGCTTATTGATTTGTGAATAGTATATGAATATATTGTTCATCTTGCATAACCCATTGAAACCGGTATTGAAATTTGCATTATGAGAACTAGATTCACATATGAATGTGCTAGAAATGGTTTGAATAATTTTTAATCATAATAATTCAGAAGAATTTTATCCAGCAAAACTAAGTTTCGGTTAATATGGGTAATTTTTGCTATAGCATTCCTACAACAATTACTGTCACACTTACAATTGAGGAGAAATTAATAATCCTAACTTATTTAAGTCACTGGTTATATTCTGTAACTGAACTCTCGTGCTCGTGCCACCCTTTTTGCTTACATTTAAAACTTTTTTTTCTTCATTTTATATTGTTGTAGTGAATTTTAGTTGATTAACTTTCTCTACTTACTTTGGTGTTTGGTATGATTTATGTATTTTACAATTGATGATTCAATCTCCGTGGGAATGATATACGTACTTTTATACATTTTATTACTTGTACGATCCGTGCACTTACGGAATTACGCAACATAAATATATCATGAATGAGAGTCTCAATCCCAAAAGGTGGCACGGGAGTGTCAATCCTATTTTTCAATTTTAAATTTGAGTGAGGCCCACCAATCTCACTCACATTTCAGGATAAAAAATAGTAAGTAAATATGAGATTGACTAATATTTCCTACTCTTATTCCTCAATTCTTATAAGTAAACATGCCATAAGAACTTACGAATCCACTTTCGCAAGCTGAATCCCTAATTAAGTGGAAGCTCAAGTAGGCGTACCAATTAAATTATTTGCCTTTATTTTAGCAAATAAATAAATAAATAAATTTGTTGCCTTTTTTTTCTTGTAAATTATTTGCAGTTGAATTGGGAAATTGGATCATGCGCTCTTTAAACTTACTCGATTGTAACATTGTCTTTATTAAAAATCTTGACCCTTGAATACTAAAAAAAATAGGAAAAAACTTTAACTAATACAGCATAGTAACTAATTTTCGGTTCACTTAATGACAAAATTACCAAAAATCCATGAATTTATTGTGTGTACTTGTCGCTTGTTTTGAAACAAAAAATGTTAATCGCTCTATTTCGTGTTATTATGCTTTTTTTTATTATTTTTTTGTAGATGTTGTAAATTTAAGTGACTGGAAGAAGCGCGAGAAACATTGAAAACTAAAAATAAGCAATGAATTCTACCTTTTTTTTTTTTTTTTGGTGGCTGCGACTAATGAATTCTACAGAGAAACAACAATTTACTCGGATTGCCAACAATAATAATGGTAAATATATATAATCTATTTACACAATAAAAAAAAGGGACAAATATTCACCAAAACGACAAGGTGTAAGGTTAATAATTACAATAGACGACGACAATTTTACAAATTACTAATTAATAAGTCCTCCGTCGTTATATATATTTGAACTGCAATTTCTTTAACAAATGGCAGTGAAACGACGATGTTTTCACAGTCCGTAGCCACAACGTTCACGACAAACGACACTGAGATTGTAAATTTGTCTGTAAAGATATATATATATATATATATTATCTTTAATTTTTAAAATACATAAAATAGGTAAAGGACTGTTCACTTCGTTGATTCGAGTTTAGAATTTGAGTTTTTCTACAGTAAAAAACTCTCACAAACAATCACATTTAACTTTTTTGCTATAGTAAAAACATAAAATCACATCTCAACTCGAATTTTAAACTCGAATCAGCGAAGTAAACGGGCCGAAAGTTTCTTTTGGTCCACTATCATTCATTTGTCAAGTGTCAAGCTCTCATCTTTTTCGTCTCTTTTCTTTTACTTCTGTTGTTTCTTGTTTTTTTTCCCCTTTCTTTCCTTATTTGTTTTCTTTATTAATATTATTATTATTATTTCCTTGCGGAAAGCTCCCCACAGTGCGTTTCTTCTAAAAGTAAATCATCACTTATCTTTTTTGTTTTCTTTTTCTATTGTTTACCAAATCCTCTTTCACAATTTAATTCTTATTCGATGTGCTTTTTTTTTAACTATTTTTTTCTTGTTTGCTCGTATTAAAATACTTTTTGCATGTTTCTCTATTTAATTTTCTTCATCTAATCCTTACTACATCAAAAGTGAATTTTAAATGGCCTATTAAAACCATTTTTTTTTCAAACGTATCTTTTGTGACAGTTTTTTCATGTATTCTTTTCGACTATTATTTTCTCATATATGCTTGTGCTCCATTTAAAAATATATTTTGCTAAATTTAGAGAGTAATAAATCAAGAAAAATTAAAATTTTAATAAAATTTTAGATCTTCATGTGTAAAAAATTAACAAGGAATAAATCATTTTAGTACTCTGTTATAGTGAAACATATTCTTAGTATCATGTCTTTTTGATAATACTAAAGCAGTAGCTTGACGTTTTTAAAAATATTTTTTTTGGTACTCTAAAGTTGATTTTTGAGATGTAAAATAACCTTAATACTCTTTTATTTAATTAATAAAAAACTATTATATCTAGGAAAAAAGTACGAACTTTTTTATTTTGTTATTTTTTAAAATATTTTTAGTTTTAAAAAATATTAATTTCTATTTAATTGATAAGAATAGTAGTTTAGACATTACAAATCTTAAAAATTAGCTTTAAGATATCAAAAAATATTTTTAAAAACGTCAAGGTGTTATTTTAATATTATAAAAAACACATGATACTAAAAATATGTTTCGCTATAATACAAAATACTAAAATGATTTTATCCCAATTAACAAATCTAATAAACACGTCCCTAACACGTGCTTATAACTAGTGTATATGAAAAGCAACATTTAAAATAATAAAAAAAACTATCAAAATAGCAATACACGTTTCTACAGAGTGATGACATTTTACAAATGAACAACGAGTATATAAACGTCAACAATTTACTAAACAACAAGGTCTTTTTGAAACTATAACATTCACGATTAACACAATAACAAAAAAGCTGTAAACGACAACAATTTTTTTTTTTTTGAAACAACGACGACAATTTTTGAGCATCAACTACCTATTAAACGACAACAATCCATAAAACGACAATGATTTGCTAAATGACAATGTCTCTCGCACATGAGATTAAGGAATAGTCAGAATAAGTATATGCACAAAAAAACTTGCGCATTGTTTTTTGGAATTGAATTGTAATTGCCATAAATAAAAAGTTACGAAAAGTGGAAAATAAATGAGAAATTTTATAATTGATCGGTCACAAATAGTAGCAACTTATTAACGACAATGTTTCTCATAAACGACATCTTTTCACCGAAAACAGTAATATAAACCTGTAAGAAAATTTACAAAAACAATAATAATCAAACATTCTGGCCAATAGAGCAACAATAATTATAAAGCAAGGAATCTCGTGAGAGAATATGCTTTTCAAGTGCTCGAGCATATGCTTAGAAAGTTAGAAATGCTTTTTTTTTTACCAAAAAAAAAATTATGCTTAGAACTGCTTAAATCATGGATTTGACATTCCCAAAGAAATATTTATAAAAAAGGTGCATAATTTATCATAATTTTATACAAATCTATTATTATATCATTCTAAATAATGAAGTGTTATTGTGATTTAAAATTTTCTTTTTATTAATTGAATGATAATTATTTTATTTTTAAATAGAGTGGTATAAATAATAAGTTTTACCATTATTAGTGATATTTTTAGATTTTTTTTCCTGACAAAAAGGAAACTAAATTGATTAATAAAGTAACTCTTACCAAATAATAAAAAGATTTGTATGGAAAATAATTATGAGGATTGGATTTAAAGTTGAAGGGAACGTGTGGACCGGGCAATCAAGGACAAAAACAAGGATTGATCACCATTTGCAAAATTATTATTGTATATTCACAAAATTATTTATTTATAATATTACTAAGGAACCAAACAATGAAACAAATAGTAGTATATTTCGCCTACACATATGAAAATAGATATCGGCTAGTTTGGTAATACCGTAGATTTAAAAAAAATTATTATTAATTGTGTTGAAAAAAACAGTTGTTATAAAAAATAATTAAGTGTTTGATAAATTGTAATTATATAAGTATTAATTTTAAGAGTATTATAAGTATTATAAAAATTTTATTAATTATATTTTAAAGTGATTGCTGCACAATTTAAAAATTAAAGTTATTTTTGAATTACTTCTGATTTTGATCGTAAATTTTTCAAAAATTTTTTAAGATTCACTTTTTATAATTTTTACTAAATATAAATTTTAAGTATTAATGACTAAAGAATTAATTTTAAACTTTAAAAATTACTACCAAACATTTGGCAAAGTCCTTTTCTTAAAAAAAAAAAAAAAAAAAAAGTATTGTCAAAGTCTAAAAAAAAAAAACCAGAAAAAGGGAAAGAAAAAAAAGAAACCTTTATAATTTTGACGTGTCAGCCAACAAAAAAGCGGCTTAACTTCTACGCCCGTGTATGAAGTGGGGCCCAAAAAAAAAAAAAACAACGGTTGGGCAACAGAACCTTTCAGTCACCGCCTCATATAAAAGACTTCTCTCTCTCTCTCTCTCCTCTCTCTTATGTTCCAGATCCGTAGGTATAATTACAAAACCAGCTTCGCCTTTATTAACGTAAAATCTCTGTCTCGTATTCCTTTGTAGGCCACTCGTAAATCATATTTGTTCTCTTTGAACCTTCGCCGGAACCAGAATTATCATGGCTTCGACGCTCGCATCCACCGCCGAAAGGCTCGATAAGCTCGGAATCAATGGGGATTTCGCGTCCTCTGCGCCTAATATCCAGAAGAATCTCCATCTTCTCTCTCCTGAACAGGTACAATTTACCTTGATTTTTCCTTGTTTTTCTGGTCACTGGGATGAGTTTGAGAGATGATTGGTTTCTGAAAATGGCGGTGCTTTGCCAGATTGAGCTTGCGAAGACGCTGTTGGAATTGGGACAGAGTCATCTTTTCGAGCACTGGGCGGAGCCTGGCGTTGAGGACGAGGAAAAGAAAGCTTTCTTTGATCAGGTATTTTCAGGATTTTTTTTAAATTAAAAAATTTCCAATGGACATGCGTGATTTTGCTGTGTGGATTCGGAAAAAGACTGGATTTTTCTGTTTGGAATTGGGTTTCTACTCTCTGGTATACAATTTCGTTAAACGACGGGGAATTGAAATGGATATGCGTTTTTCTAAGCCGATTTGCTTACAAATCTTATTTGAATTTCAGGTGGCTCGGCTTAATTCAAGCTATCCTGGCGGTCTGGCATCGTATATCAAAACTGCAAGAGAACTTTTGGCAGATTCAAAAACTGGAAAGAATCCATTCGAGGGTTTCACACCTTCAGTACGTGAGCTCATCGCACGATTGATAATTTTAATTTATGATGCGCATTTTCATACACTCGAAATAAAAGCATATTCATTGCTGGCTGACATTTGATTTGGTCTCTTGAATTTTGGTTCCTTGCTAGTTTAATAGTCTAAAAGTTGGCACCGTTACTGTGTTGGATGTTTAATTGTGAATAAAACAACCCGATGATGCAATATGCCGCGGTTTTTCCTCGTTAAAGACGTGTTGATTAGTAAAACTGGCAATACACCTAGGAATGTTTGGTGGGGTTTTCGCTTATTATGTGGTTATTTTGCTTTTATGTGTAATTATTCATGAGCAAGTAGGAAAAAAAAGAAGAAAAAAAATGTTTGTATGCAGGCACTTAACTGAGGTGACGAACTATGTATCCGGTGCGTTGTTCAAATTCTCTGTAAGAGTTGCTGAGGTTGTCAGTACATATGGTCGAGATTTGAGAACAACAAATAAAGCATGCTGATTTTTTAGCAATGTCTTACAGGTTCCTGCTGGTGAAGTCTTGACTTTTGGTGATGATGACTTCGTCAAATTCGAGGAAACAGGCATTAAAGAAGTTCGGAAAGCTGCGTTTGTTCTTGTTGCTGGCGGTCTTGGGGAGCGTTTGGGTTACAATGGAATTAAGGTGATATTATATTAATCATCATTTTTCAAAATGTCTAATTCCTCGGTAAAACAACAAATCATTTTTTTTTTCCCTTTGTTTTTAGTGAGCCTAAGCTTTCTTAACATGTAACGTATTCAGTTTGAATCGAGAATTCCTATTAGACTGCTTGAAGTCTCACGTTGTTTAGCAAAGATAAAAAATTAATAATAGGGCTTCTCTAATTTCATTGTCCCGCTTGATGTTATTATTTGGAGAATATCACCAAAATGTTATATTTATTTGTTATTGCGCCTAGATTTATTTTTCAACACTATGGTCTCTGTAAAATTGCCCAAACAGCAATAATAGTTGCTTGTAGCTATTCTTGGTTCTGTACATATTTTGAGAAACGGGTACAAACATCTAAGACTCTGTATTTTCCTGATGCAGGTGGCTCTTCCAAGGGAGACTGTTACGGGAACATGCTTTTTACAACATTACATTGAATGTGTTCTCGCTCTTCAAGGAGCTAGCTGTAGCCTTGCCCAAGGTCTGTCAAGCTTATCTGGTGTTTAGATTAGGAAAGGAAAAAAGTGCATACACCGACTAGGATGCCTTATTTGAAAAGCAAATGTTTTTCGTCAGTGATGTGTAAATTAGAAATTGAAAATGGAAAAGGAGCTTTAAAAAATTAATGGTTACCTTTACTCTCTTCTTTTTCAAACAGCACCATCCCAGAACTTGGCGTGGTACAACTTTTGTGTTTCACACACCTGAGACTTTACCACTGAACTAGATAATGGCTGACCCCATCAAGTGCCCACATGTCTCGCTTGACAAACCATTTAAACCTGTGATAGTTTTCCATAAACCCCCAATCATATTCTCTTGGGTCTATCTTCATGTGTAGAACTAGAACCTATTCTCTTCCAATACCAACAAATTTCAAACCTTTCTATATCTCTTTACAAGACTTGTCGCTCTCAATTTCACGGGCAACCATGTCATTACATGCAAAAAATGAATAAAATAAATAAAAAAAGGACTGATTATAGTGTGCTCCCTACTTTTTTGGTTGAACTTTTGTTTAGAAAAGAGAAGTCCATTAATGCTTCCTTTTTGCCGTAAGTTTGATTATTGGTAGCAGAGATGCATCAGTTTTTCTTCTTATTTCAAATAATGATGCAGCATTTTAATTGTAGGTGAAGGTCAAACAAAGACTCCTTTCGTTATAATGACATCGGATGACACACATTCGCGCACTTTGGAGCTCTTAGAATCAAATTCTTATTTCGGTATGGAGCCTACACAAGTAAAGCTTCTGAAGCAGGTATAAAATGATAGTTGACATTGATGTCTTACTTATGAAAGTTGACGCAATATGGGTTTATGATGTAAAATGTCCACTGTTTACAGGAAAAAGTTGCATGTTTAGATGACAATGAAGCCAGGCTTGCAGTGGATCCGCATAGCAAGTACAAGATTCAGGTAGTATTCATGCATAATTTATTCTTTCTACATGTATGAGTTTAATGTCATGTTTTATCAAAAAATTTTAGATTTGGCAAATACTTTTTAGAAATTACTTGTTTACAGAATTTAATGATACAGGCCCAAAATATTCTATTTTATATTTCTCTAATAGGAAGCAAAACAATCCACTCGTGTGTGAGAGAGTAAACGAGCAATCAGTCCTCAATTGCAAGAAATGACTTCATTGTTTGTTTGAATTCTTCCTAACCTCTTTTTTCCTCTTGTGTGGTAGACTAAACCTCATGGTCATGGCGATGTACATTCACTTCTCTATTCCAGTGGCCTTCTGAATGCTTGGTATGTATGAAATACTTATCCATATGTTATGCCTTTACGATGAATGAAACATTACACTGATGAAAGAATTCAAGTCTTCCCTCAAAAAAAAAAAAAAAGAATTCAAGTCTTATTACTGCTTTACCATGGTATCATCTCTGGAACTGCATTTAACAGGTTTATGCTCCATTTTAATAACAATTGCTACTATTCTTGCTCTATGCTTGGTACTGGAAATCTAAAATAACTGACACGCCCTTTCTTTGCTCTGCATATCATAGGACTCCGTTATATTTGTGATTTGATAGCCTGCACATCCATGATTTGAATTTGTCCATATTTTGTGCAGGCGTGATGCTGGTTTGAGATGGGTTCTATTTTTCCAAGATACAAATGGGCTTCTATTCAATGTTGGTCTTGCTGATTTTTCATAATTTTATCTAAAATTTTCATATATGTAGATTTATAGTTGGACAAGTCATACCCATATTTTATAGCTGTTCTTATGTAGGCAATTCCAGCAGCAATAGGTGTCAGTGCTACAAGACAATATCATGTTAACTCCCTTGCTGTGCCTCGCAAAGCAAAGGAAGCCATAGGCGGGATTACCCGTCTCACTCACGTTGATGGTATACAATATTTCCCTTTTCCTTGTAGACAAACTCAACTATTTTTTATTTTTTATTTTTTCGTTCTACTTGTTTCTTTGGAACTTCTGTGTTGCTGTTACTCTGGAGGTGTCAACTTTTTTATGGATGGATTCATTTATTAACAAATAAACTTCTTTCTTAACGAGTTGATTGGCCCGAAATATTGCACTGAGGTTAAATAACAATCAATGTTGTATTAAAAGATGGGAGCTGTGGACATGGTATTTTAGCAATTTTAATTTTTTAACATTTATTATTTTTTTCCAAAACAGTGAATCACTATGATTTCTTTAAGGAATTTTGTTTTTGAAAATACTTTCCTCTTAAGTTTGTACGTCCAAGGTCAGGATCCAGGAGCTTCGCTCTCTAGCTTTTCCTCTCTCTCTCTCTCTCTCTCTCTCT